ATACGCTCACCCTTGCAAAGTAGACACAGACCAGGGTGACCAGGTAAGACGCCACCTGATCTGTGAGTCTGTGCACGGGGGCTTTCCAGGAAAAGTGCGCCAAGTCTCAGTACAGCAGGGATTAGCAGAAGCGTGGTCAAGGGAAGCCAAAATCAGGGAAGCCAGAGGTCAGAGTAGTCCAGGAGGAAAGCCAAGGTCAGAAGCCGGAATTAGACAGTAATCACTGGAACGCAGGTACAGAGTAACAGGAACCAAACAAGGGAACCAGAGTCAATGAACTGACACTGCCCTCAGGGAGAGGCAGTGTCTTATACCTGGCTAATTGGTGATCAGCCACAGGTGTGCTGAGATCGTTGGAGCAGCCACAGAATAACGTCCAGCCCCCAGTGCTGGGTACAAGGCAATATAGACTTCTGGCTATCTCTTGAGCTGATATGGTGGCTCAGAGGCAAAATAGCAGCCCCAGGACTGCAAAGTACCCTGGTTCAAGTCCGTCACCGGGCACTTCTGGGGCGACCTCGTCTGGCCGTCGGGATGTCGCGGTGAGAATCGTGACAATGGGTTTGTGATGCCATTTGCCTGTTTTATGTTAAAGGAAGCAACAGTGAGGAGACATGTGGCACCCAATTATGTCTCTTCTTCTCTACCAATAGCAAGGAAATATAGTGTGATAAAGTCCAGAATCCCTTGGCTCTGGGAATTATGCACTCAGCAGTAACTGCACCTGAACCCATTTCAGCACCAATTACAATGCCAGTACACAGTCTGTTAGAGCCATCATTCTTACTACTTAACACTGTCTGTGACAATGATGATAATACTTGGAGGCTTTCTATTGTGTGTGTTTGACTCATTTTCAGTGCTGTAACATGTATGCAATCACCTTGAGGTCATGTTGTTTCAGAACTTTAAATAATGGTGACTGAAATGGTAAATTCATTGACAGCCTTCACAAGATGTTTAGCTCAGGGAATGTGCCACATGCATTTTTTTTACTTCTGTTTATTTGATCCCTAGACTTCTATCTGTGTTAAAAGTATACATTTCCCATAGGTAACATAACCCATATGCTGGTATTGATATCCAATCTGCTTACTGCATTTTTAATAGGTAAAGTATGTTAATGCATAATTCTGTTATAAAACCTATTTAATCAGATCTCTGGCAGATTTCTTCTCCCACAAATGTAATTAATAATGGTTTAAAATTATTTGTGAGGAAAACCATTTTATAGTTATACAAGTAGTATTGCTAGGTGCCAGTCTGGTAATTGTGACTCACTGGTATGGGATTGGTGTCCAGTTTGTAAAGTGCATTCATGGCAAACCAGCTTCCTAGGATTTTGGGACATCTCTGATGTTGCAAGATCTTTCAAGTGCACATGTACAACAGAGTTGTACAATACAAATTTCAGTGATCATTGAGTAGACTAATCAGGTGGATCAGTGTTACTCCTACACATACTGATCCAAAACACAGAGAAGGAATATATGGAAAACAAAAAACAAACTTATATTTGCTCACTTTTTCTGTCTGCAGAATAAGATAACGGTCTTATTCAAAGGCATCAAAGCCGCTGAATGAGATTGTTATCCCAAAGGGATGCATGTCCCTTTAATTATTTAAAAAAGGAAAATAATCGATGGTGATTGTTATAAAAAAAATAAATTTTATTTTCTTAATTCTCTAAACCTTTTGCTGCAAAAGATCAATGTTAAAAAAATAAATTAGTTGTATATGGATCGTTCCAATCTAAATATTATCCAACAATTAAGGTATATTAACATTTCACATTGATCATTCAGGTCTTTATTGGCACTATCCCAATGGAGCATTGGAAACACTGTCCAAAATGTCAGTGCTGATTCTTTTTATAAAAAGTTTATTTATAAAACAGTGCCCAGGATTCATTGAAACAGTAGTAATATTGCTTATTATCGTGCCTTTTGTGTTGCAGTAGATCAGCGGTACAATTTAGTGCCCCAGGGGGTACGCATAAAAATCCCGATAATGGCGATGCAACCGCACCGCATGGGCTGTGGACAGCAAAGTGAGCGAGTCCATCGCGTGGCCCATGCACTCAGGGCCACCCGATGGATATGTGCTATGAGGGGCCCGGTTATGCGCTGCAGCGCTTTAATAGGGCGACTGGGCCTCTTCTAACCTGACCAGAGAGCTGGGGGGAAGTGAGAGCTAGACGCATACTTCCTCCCAGCTGTTACCAAGCTGCGCGGGAGGAAGCCTTAAAGGGGGCAGGGCGGAGAGGATCTCAACTCTCAACAGCCTCAGCCACAGAAAAGTATGTGTAGGTGTGTTTTGGGTGTCGGTATGTATGTAGTAGGGGGTCAACCGATTTATCAGTTTTACCGATATTATCGGCTGATATTCGGTATTTTCGTCAATATTGGTATCGGCCAATAAAGATGCTGATAATACATAACCGGACTGCCAGGCCCATTTACACAGGGTGTGGAAGGCAGCTGCTGGGAAGGTAAGTAACAGCTTGCTGTGGGCTCCCTCTGCTCAGTACATGCCATAGCCCCTCTATATATATTGCCCCCCTCTCCCTCCCATTTTACACAAATTACATCCCTTCAAAAACACACACACACACACACACACACACTCTTACGCACACTGCATTCACTTTACGCACACTACATATACAAACACACTCTGCATTCACTATAAATACACACTGCATCCACTTCACAAACACACACAGCTCCCCTGTCTAAACACACTGCGTCCACTACACGTGGCATGTATATTTTGTGCATTTACCTTTAGAAATAGTTTGGAAAATAGAAATGGTAAATGTACAGAATATCGGCAAATTATTGGCTATCAGCCTGAAAATTCACAGATTATCAGTATCTGCTCTAAAAAAAAAATCAATATTGGTCGATCCCTAGTATGTAGTGTGTGTGTCTCTATCTGTCAATGTGCGTATCTTTGTCTGTGTGTCTGTTATTGTTTATTTGTATGTCTGTCTGTGTATCTGTCAGGGCCATGGCTCCAGGCGGCATTTTGCCTGCAAAGCCCAGTCTTCCCCGATCAGCTCATCCGCCGGAGAGGACTGGGAGGCAGCTCAAAACGAAAAGGAAAATCTTAGGAGTCCAAAATGATAATATAAAGCTGAGAATTACTCAAGATTTTTAATTCTCTTAGATCCTAGAGGATGTTCGTTAGAGGATTTTATGCATGAACACAGCAAATTCATGACCAGAGTTTATGTAACCGAAAGGCATACGGGTCCATGTATATTGCTGCTTTCCAAATGTGAAGGCCAATTTGTATTGGTTTTCATCATGGACTGGTACAGTCCAATATCCCTGGAGAGGGAGGCTGATCTGGGGCTGGCTGGGTCCTCCGGGTTACGAAGTGTTAACCACCGAAGTTATGGCACTCGGAGATTTTAACTGTGCATGCCGGAACTTCAGTGGGAACTTTACTTACATCAATTTGCTGTAGGGCTGTTGCTGTGGGCTGGCCCCCGGGTGCGTCAGAATTCCCCTTTGTGTCTGGCTACGTGTGCTGTAACGGCCACATAGCTAGCACAGGCATCAGGACATGCAGGAGTTGGACTTGGCAAGCAACGGTGTAGACAAGAGGAGCGGAACTGCAAGGAGTCAATTCAGACTCCACTTCAGCTAGGATCCACCACACCGCTGAAAGGATAAGTAATTATTAGCTTCAGTGCACACCAGTGTTAATTTTGGCGGTAAATGTCAATTTAGTTTTAGTCAGTCTTTTGACCTAAAAGCCATTTTAGTTTGTCATATTTTAGTCATCTAAATGGTTTGTTTTAGTCGACTAAATCTCCAGTAGATTTTAGTCGACATGACTAAAATCTAGTGGGTCTAATTAAAACCTCTGTCTCTTTTGTCCCCCCGCCCCCACCTCTCAAATCCCCATGTGTCTCATTGCCTCAGTCCCCATGTGTCTTACTCACCCATGTAAATTTTTGCGGCAAATTTTTTATTTGTTTTTTTACTTTCTTTTGTTTACTAAAAAGCCGTTTTAGTCATATTAGTTGTGAGTTGTTTTAGTCGACCAAATCTCAAAAATTGTAGTCAACTAAAACCTAACTAAAATGGTTAGTCGACAAAATTAACACTGATGCACACAGTGTGCTGGACATAGGAATTCCGTCCCCAGCGCGCATACAGACGCGCACACTACGTCCCCAGCGCGCATACAGACGCGCACACTACGTCCCCAGCGCGCATACAGACGCGCACACTACGTCCCCAGCGCGCATACAGACGCGCACACTACGTCCCCAGCGCGCATACAGACGCGCACACTACGTCCCCAATGCACACACAAACAGACGCGCACATTACGTCCCCAGCGCACACACCGCTGCTTACCACATGACAACTTAACTTACTCCTTTTTGGTTTATTGTTGGTGATTGACGTATATTGTACTTAGCTAATATTTTATTACCACTGCAGAAGCATATAAAGTTTAATTTAATGTGCAATTATCTAAATATGTTAATGGAATGTATTTATCTAATCTGTGAGGATATTTATGGGGTGAAAAATATTAAAATATTTTCATAAAAATGATCAAAAATTTATTTAATCATTTTTATTATATCAAAATTGATATCTTGGTGCGGTTCCCCAAAAATGATAATATAAAGCTGAGAATTACTCAAGATTTTTAATTCTCTTAGATCCTAGAGGATGTTCGTTAGAGGATTTTATGCATGAACACAGCAAATTCATGACCAGAGTTTATGTAACCGAAAGGCATACGGGTCCATGTATATTGCTGCTTTCCAAATGTGAAGGCCAATTTGTATTGGTTTTCATCATGGACTGGTACAGTCCAATATCCCTGCGCACAGTCAATGGCAGTGAATATTTTGCATCCCTGCATTTGTACCAAACATTGGTCTATGGATGGCACTGGCCAACGAGACATATAGACACTTTTATTTAGCTGTCGTAAGTCAGCGCATAAATGCCATTGTCCAGTAGGTTTCAGAATTCCCATAATCGGATTATTATACGAACTGTGCACCGGACGTACAATGCCCCTTTCCTTTAAATTCTGAATGATGTCTTGTAGACCATCATATGAAGCCAATAGGAGTCTATATTGTTTGATTAATACAGTTGGTAAATTTGGATCCGTTTGTATTCTGGCTACGTGGAGGTTAGTTAACCCACAGTCGTAGGAATCTTTGGCAAAAATATCTTGGAATTCCATAAGGATTTCCCTTAGCTGTTGCCACTCAGCATCGTTGGAGCAACCGTCCGCTAAAGATATTTGCTCTTCAAGCCTCTTCTGAAACCCAGGAAAGATTTCAGGCTGGTCCATCTCATGAGCTTCTTCAAGCCTAGAAGTTAGTTCAGTTGGGTGTTGACTTGCCTTTACTCTTTGGTCGTGATATTCTCGTGATTCCTGCTTATTGAGCGGATGATGGAAGGTGATTGATGCCTCTTCGATTTCACACTAGCCTTCTTTGATGTTAAAGGGATATACAGATAGGATAGTGAATAATCCTTCTGGGGAGGAATGGAATATTTGATTGACAATTTCGTCCTCAGTTAAGTATTCTTCAGGGATGAGGCCTATAATTTGGTTTTGGAAACCGAATGTATAGTACTCTGCATCCAATGCTAGACCTAATAATGTTTATTTTGTCAAAGTAACACCATTGGGTGTAACATTGACTATTACATAGGTGGGATTCTTACCAATACTTACCATTGGTGTTTGTTACCACCATCCCTAATTGTTGTATCCTTTTGGATAAACAGATTAGGGCATCAGAGTTTTTCAATCTCTGACCCTTCTTGACCTGTAGGGGTAAAATAAAGTTACTTGTCCCTTGTGGAATGGTTGTGTCATCAGGTACATGGATACTTACTGCATATGGTAATATTTGTCCTAATTTCAGGGCGTTCTCATGTTGGTATCCACAAGGATTACCTTTTAACCTTGTCCACAAGTTGGAGTTAATTAGGTCAAGGTGTATGGCAAAGCGATGTATGACATCATTGCTAATGTAAACCTGATAGCGAGGTTCGTCTATCACTAGGAATAAATGTTTAGCCGTCTTATTTCCGATGGAAATGGATAATAGACATTTTGCTATCACATTGTGATTCTCTGATTCGCCATCAATGTTCTGGATCCACCTGTCGTGGGGAAGCGTACCTGATCATTTTAGGATTAGTGATCTGCTTTAACAGACTTCTGCTAATATAGTTATTCTCACTCTTTAAGTCCAGCTTTGCATTCCTACTTCTTCCTAAGTCATTTATTTGAATAGGAAAGAATAAGTTATTAACCCTTTGGATTCTGGCAAGAAATTTATGACCTGCCAGATCAACAGATTCAACATAGTCCTTGTGGAGAGAAATGGTTAAAACATCACCTTCCAGAGAGACATTTTGGATTCTTTCTGGAGCAACTCTTACGGAATGCTCATCTACAGGTGCAATTGCGTCATTCACCTGCAGTATAGTCACGTCAGGTGACTGAGTGAGTATTCCTAAAATGTACCTCAATGGAGTCAGGTCTTTCTTCTATCACATGGCGGTTACGTTCAGATTGAACATGTGATTCATCATAGGTTATAGGAACCTTAGCTTGTGACATACAACTCCATTCACACAGTCAATAATTGTGTTAAGTCTTCTGAGTATGTCTATACCCAGAATCAGTCGATTATAGGGGAGATCTATCCCTATTACCGGGTGTCTAAAGGTTGTTACCTATTTTAAACTTTAACCAGGCAGTGCCAATAACATGAAGGGCATTTCCTCCTACACTCAACAGGTCATTGGGGAAATTTATTGGTTTCGGCTTATCTGTTTCTGCTGGAAGAAGGTATTGGATAAGATAGTGGCTTGTGGACCAGTATCCATTAACCCTTTGAAAGGTTGGGGTAGCGAATCCTGTATTTCTACAGACATGTAGTACATTTCTTCATGTTCTTTTAATTCACATAAGAATTTAGAATGTGTCAACATATCACTCGTTTTCCATACGTTACCTGTCACATCAGTAGTTTCTACCTGTTCTGAGGAATGCTCAGTTTTACCCACAGACCCATCCTACTTAGGAATATCTTGAACTATCAAGCGGTAACTAGTGGTTGGCATCTCATCAGTTAACCCTTTCAGGTCTGGATCCTGGAAACCAGTAGCTGCTGGGGATATTTTAGCCTTTGGCTGAAATGAAAAAGCAGAGGGACACGTTGCGCCTCATTCACCCGGAAGTGAAGTGACTGGGTAGGCAATAGGTTTCCTAACACAACTATTGTTTGACTGTGAGGATCTGGAAAGGAAACAGGGTTAGGCATTACATCTACTGATAACAGTGGCTATTATTCCAGCGGCACCTGTTGCTGCTGCTGTAGTTGAACAGGTGGCTCTGCAGTTGGGGCTGTCTCTAAAAAAGGATTCCTGTCAAAAACTTAGTTAATTTTTGTCATTTCTTCCATTAATTTGCCCATCTGGTCGGTCAATTGACCAACCTGACGACGCAAATTATTTCCCCCATTGCCGTTTTGTCTTTGTCCATTAGAATTAGGCTGGGATGGCTGAGACTGTTGGGAGTTACTGGAAGCAGATTGGTTGTTTGTTTCCATGAGGATTCCTTCTCCATTGGGAATTGCCTTGGTTCTTATTAAACCAGGGACGTTTATTCCTGTTGGCATTGTAATTTTCAGAGTTATTATCAGAGGAATTAACAGGATTGCTTATGGCATTTTCCTGTTTCTGAGATTTTGGAGTTTTCAAAACTTCAGAATAAGTCCTCTTTTTCTGTTAGATTTCTAAACCTAACTGAATTTTTAGTCTCAGACACCATTTTATCAACAGGTTTCTTAACATTTTGCTGATTTTCATCATGTGCATGTATAGTATACAATTTCATGCACTGACTGACTAGCCATTCTAATGGTAACATACAATCATAATCTCTTGCGAGATCCATTTGTATGTTTACCAGCATAGCATAAAAATACAGATCTTTGAATTCTGTACTTTCATACCTGGGTTTCCTTTGGGCCATGGAATATGCATTTCGGATCAAAGGTCCATGTAATGTACCATTTCTTATGGATGTCATCATACATGCCCAATGAATTCATGCCTCTTTCATAATTTTCCAGATGTTCAGATATGTTTTCTGAACTTCTAGAAAATTGTGGGACTGTCTCTTTGAGGAATTTAATAACCCTAGGCGTTTCATAGAAAGGCGTAGTTGATTTATGACCGTTTCTATCTCCCCTGTTAGGTAAACGTCTATGCGATCTGGCTGCTGAAGAGGAATTAGATCGATATAACAGTGCAGATGGCATAGCAGTCACATGGCCTTCAGAGTGGACAGTGCAATCACTTTCACTCCCATCACTCTGAGCTTCTCGTTCACTGTCACAATTCTGATCGGCATCAGAGTTCTGGCAGTGTACAAAACCATGTCTGTTTTCACTCCTATCACCCTGAACCGGACTCCCTTTCTCAAGCTTGGCCAAGACAGTCTTTTCAAACTGTTCTACCCAAGATTGCCAGTGTTTAGCAATATCATGAGGTGAGGAATCCTGTTCCACAGGTGTTTTCTCAGAATTACTCACATCTTTTCTTTCAGACTGTTTTAGGAAAACCTGGTCTGGTGTGGGAAAATCCTAATAAGGAGGGGATTTACAGGTAGCCCTTTCTTGCATTTTTGTGCAATTTTTTTTGGCATTCAATGATGACGACTAACCTCACTGTCTGATTTTTGACTCTCCTTTTCGTATTCTTCCAATTGTTTTTTAAAGGACCACTCTAGGTACCCAGACCACTTCAGCTTAATGAAGTGGTCTGGGTGCCAGGTCCCTCTAGGATTAACCCTTTTTTTTTTTAAATAAACATAGCAGAAACTGCTATGTTTATAATAGGGTTAATCCAGCCTCTAAAGCCTCTAGTGGCTGTCTCATTGACAGCCGTTAGAGGCGTTTGCATGCTTCTCACTGTGAAAATCGCAGTGAGAAGACGCCAGCGTCCATAGAAAAGCATTGTAAATGCTTTCCTATGAGACCGGCTGAATGGGCGCGCAGCTCCTGCCGCGCATGCGCATTCAGCCGAAGTGGAGGAGGAGAGCTCCCCGCCCGGCGCTGGAAAAAAGGTAAGTTTAACCCCTTTCCTCTCCCCAGAGCCTGGCGGGAGGGGGTCCCTGAGGGTGGGGTATTCAGATATGTGATAAAAGTATCTAAATCTGCCAGTCCAAATAAAAAATATAGCCTCTATGAAACGGCGATAGCATACTAAGTTCGCCCCCCAGGGATGCCCCTGATATACAAACTGTTCCTCCCAATATGCCATGAACTTGGTGCCCATCGCCGTTCCCCTAATTTGCAGGTAAAAAACTTAATTAAAACCAAAAAAAGTTATTGGTTAAAATCAAATATAAACCTTCTAAAATAAATTGCACGTGTTCTTCTTTAAAATGATTTTTCTTTAAAAAATATTGCACTGCTTCTAATCCTTTTTCATGTGGTATAATACTATAAAGTGAAGTCATGTCACATGTCACTAAAAAATTGCCCTCTTTCCAAGTAATTTCCTCTAAGTTGTAAAATATGAAATAGTATCTTTCAAGTAAGCAGGATTACGGATAACTAGAGGCTGTAATAGATGATCAAGGTATTCCGATACTTTCGCTGATATAGAGTCTATCACAGATATAATTGGCCTTCCTGGTGGATTTTCCCTGTTCTTGTGCACTTTCGGGAGATGATGATATACTGGTGTTTTGGAATATGGGGTGGATAGGTACTTGGCTTCAATTGTTGTCAATATTCCTTTTTCCAAACCTTTCTCAATATAATCATCAAACTTATTTTTAATACCTTCAATTGGATTCTTATCCAATTTTTGGTATGTGTAGGGGTCTGACAAGATTCGCTCTGCTTCCTGAAAATATTTACTCTTAGGAGTGACTACTATGCCTTTATCTGCTGGCTTAATTATGATATCTTTATTTTGTTTCAATTCTTTCACTGCCTTCTTTTCTTTGCTTGACATGTTTTGTTGATACTTATTTAACGGTTTAATTTTCTTTATTTCTTTCATTACCATTATTTCAAACGTCTTTATCTCGTCTGAAATAAGGTGCTTGGGGAAAAAATTGGATTTAATTTTTAGATTTAAATGTGTATATTCTGATTAGACTTCCTCATTTGGGGTGTCTTCCCTGTTAACAAATTATTATTTTTTTACAGAGGTGTCTAATAAACTTGTTAACATCTATGAAAAAAAAATCAAATTTATTAAGATCAGAGGTTGAGGCAATTTTTAGGCCTTTCTGTAAAACTTCGATCTCCCCTCTGGGTAACTCGTCACCCGTCAAGTTAAAAATTCCATCTGAGTTTACCTCTTTCCTCTCTTCTCTCTGTGTCTCTCTTCTTCTTTTTCTATTTTTCTTTTGTTGCTGATCTGTCGTTTGCCGGGGGACTTCCATATTGTGATTTGTCGTGTTAGTTTCAATCTCTCTGTTGCTGGGTCCTTCCGAAAAAAAAGTCAATGATTGTTCTTGTTTAGATGTATGTGGTTGTTCCTCTATTTCATCCAGTCTATTTCCCTGTGTCATTGGAGGATATCTGTAGTTTTTTCTCCTTCTCTTTTCTTCATTCCATATTGGGTTCCTTCTCTCTATTCTTTTTGGGACATTCGATTGAACCGCTTGGCTATAACTCTTGTAGTTGGTTGACCTTGATAGAGAAGAGTAGTTCCTCTTGCGGTCTCTCCATTGAGGGGAAATTGGTTCATGTCTGGGGGAGTATACTTTATCTTGACCCCTTGTGTGTCTTTGGTTGTATTTTACCATTGGTCTATAGTTGGGTGTCCTACTAATTTCGTGCCTCTCATATCCATTTTTTTTTTTTGTCTATATCTAGAGGGTGATCTACTTCTTCGTCTTTCAATATGTCTCTTAGTTTGATAGTGTTTACGCTGCCCTCTATACGGTTCTTTTTCTTTATTTTTAAACTATAATCTTTGTTTTTTGGGGGGGCATTTATATTTCCTATTTTATAGTCATTAGTGTCCCTCAAATATTCTTTTTTACTTCAATGGTTTCTTTCTCGGTTTTATCTACTTTATTTTTTATATCCCTCATTATTTGGCTATATATCTCGGGGCTCGTAGTTTCAATTTTTTTTTTTTGCAATTTTTTATTGGCATTGGCATATTTTAAGATGACCCGATTCTTAAGAATATTTTACCGGAAAAACATAAAATAATTTACAGAGGAGCTAAAAATCTTAAGAATTCCCTAGTACAGAGTAGTGACAAAGGAACGACACCAGTGAATAATTTTTTTTATTTTTTTTTTAAGTATGAGCAAAGGTTTTTATGGATGTGGACAATGCCTGGTTTGTAGAAATACCAAAAATAAAAAACTACATATAATAGATATGGAACCTATTATAAATCCAAAATTTGAAATTAAAGATCACTTAACTTGCTATTCCAAAGGGGTAATTTATATTTTAAAATGTCCATGTAACCTCCTATATGTAGGCAGAACAATCCGATGTCTGAATACAAGGTTAACAGAACATACAAGAATATAAAAAATGGATTAGAGACACAGTGTCTCAAACCATTTTAAAATAGCTCACAACCAAAACCCTGAAGGGATGTTTTTTAGTGCCATTAAACTTGTTAAAAAAGATTGGAGGGGAGATTACATGAAAAAAATAGGGATGAAAGAAATGAAATGTATTTTTAATTTTAATACTATGATGCCGCAGGGACTAAACAACGATTTTGAATTGTGCCATTTTATGAATTTTTTTTTTATATTACTTCTTGAGTTTTAATAGAATTTTATTTTAGGATATCTCTATGGATTAATTTTACAATTATCTTTATCAGTTTTTGATATGTTTTAACAATTGCCAATTATTTTTTATGTGTGCAAATTTATATCATTGGGGGGCGTGCCTAGCAGCCGAAGAAGATGGCCGCTTAACTCACCAGCTCCCCGTGGTCGCAGCAATCACACGCAACTACCGGCGCACCTCCCGCATCCATCACCGAGCATGGGGCGCACTAGGAAGCAGACAGACCCCCCCGGCACCCCCAGACCATCGGGGACCGGGGCGGAGCACTCCATCCGCTCCTATCTCACCACGCCGCGGGACCTCGATCTGACACCAGGCCCGACCACGGACTCACCCCCGGGAACTCCCGCGCAATTCTCCCCGACACCATCAGACCCACCTGACACCCAGGGGGCGCTGGAGAGTGACTTCAGGGCCATCTTACCCACCCTACTCACGAAGGCAGACCTAGAGGCGCTGTCAGACCGCCTCAGCCAGGTGATCCGCAGTGAGCTGTCCCAGGTGAAGGCTGATATTGCCAACATGGACGCCAGGCTGACAGTAACAGAAGCAGACACACGGGCTCTCCGCGAAGACACTGATGCTGCGGTCTCCACGATCACAGGCTGCGAATCGAGCCTGACCCATATCACAACATGGGTCGACGACTTAGACAACAGGAGTCGCAGAATGAACCTCAGGTGCGTGGGGTCAGAGAAAGGGGTCCCAATGAAAACATCCCAGAGATCCTCCGCACAATCTTCAGCCTAGCCCTGGGGGGACAACAACCCAGAATAGGCCTTGTACGAGCCCACCGCGCACTCCGCGCACCACCAGCACCGGGGGAACAACCACGTGACATCATCTGCTGCCTGGATAATTTTATCCTCAAAGAGGATATTCTCCGCAACGCCCGCCGAATGGGTCGCATCAGGCTGGAAGATCAAGAAGTGACGATCTTCCAAGACCTCTCCCGCTACACACTGCAAGCCAGGAAGAACCTCAGACCAGTAACAGCAGCACTCCAGGCAGCGGGTATCCAGTACCGCTGGGGGTACCCCTTCGCCCTCTCCGCACGCAGGGGACAAGAGCTACACACCATCAAGGCACCGGCGGATGTCCAGGGATTTCAACGGGCACTGGGACTCCCGCCCACCAGAGTCCAGAATTGGCTGACCCACCACTTCATACAGCAAGCAGCGGGCCCTCCACCGCCACCGCCTGCCAGGCTAGCAAGTAGTGATCAGCGCAGACCCTCGGGACGCCCTGGCCCGGCCAGACCCGAAGAATAGCAGCCGCAATACGAACCCAGCCAGGACGGAGGAACGGTGCAGACAACACACCGCACAACAGTGAGTAAGGGCACTATAGATGATCGGGGGACATTGGCTACTTCTCCACGGGGGGCGCAGAGGCGCAAGGGGGGCTACCCACACTGCGGGAGGGGAAAAGGCATGAACAGCATGCGCAAAAACCTGGCCGCCGCCCCAGCAGCGAGACGCTGCAACCGGGGGTCGATGGCCCCACGAACATCCCCCGGCCTGGTGGAGCGGGAGACGGGGGGGGGAGGACATTGTTTGGGTGGGGGAATGGGAACCGGGACCACACCAGGACACTCGTAAGTCGCACTACGAACTCCTCGATTGGATCCGGACACTTTCAGGGCACAGAGACTAGAGACACGAACTCCACTCCCACAAGGGAGAGCCACGCTCCACGGCAGTAAGGGAGAAGGGGATCAGACCAAGGGGAAGTAAGGGAACCACTGACAGGGGTATCCGGAGGGACACAGGGAGAGGGTCGAACTATGCACACGAATACAACGGATACACACACAGCAATAGCGGCCTTATTGACACTCTAGGACAACACGCAGTACACAAGAACAGCTGGGACACAACACTGTATACCTAGAACACAGGGTGAGGGGGGGAAAACTAGAGGGACGGGGGGAGGCATTGGCACACCACAGCGTAGGAGGGGAGATAGAGCAGGGGAGGAGATTCTAGACGAGAAGGCGAGAGAGCATGGGGAGACACGGGGTAGAGGAAGGGGCAGGACACAAGGAGAGACGGGGAACAAGAACCAGCCGGGAGAGGGGGGGAAAGGGAGAAGGAACAAACACATGTGGAGAGGGAGGGTGGAGGGAATGAGGAGGAGCAAGACAGGAGGGGAGGGGGAGGAAAATCATAATGCTACCTTGTTTATATTAATCTATATAATTTAAATAATACAAAAAAAAAAAAAAGTCATGGGAACTACAACCCCACCTCGCAAAGCCAACCCTAAAGCAACAGGAGCAGGGAGGGGAGACGGGTAAAAGTGAGACCACCCCCCACACACCTCCAAACCGGACCCAACAACACCTAACTCCATTAACTCCAGACCCCAAGCAAAGCACGCATGCTGCAGGCCAGGGACTAGCCCTAATGAGGGGAATAGCCATAGGGGGGCACCCCACAGCGCTAGCCCACCACCCCCAGAAACCACACGTAGCCACCCGTCACGCGGACCACTAGGTACCCACGCACCGTTCCCGCCACACCTGGAACATATAAGTAGATGGTGAATCAGGCACCAAACCCATACAACTGCAGGAAGCCCACCAACCATGCCACCTTGCTGAAAAATACACTAACTGTAATAACAAACAAACAAAAAAAAAATGCACACAGAAGGGTGCAGCCACGAATCACTCATTGAGACCACCACGAGCCACAACCACTGTCTAGCCCACTACCCACGGCCACACCACTCAGACGGGGCATACAGACCCGACCCGTGCCGAGCGGGCACAGGAGACAATCCAGACAGCTAGGGCCGGAGGCGAAACGGCCTTCGACTCACCCCCAGAGGGCATAGGACAAAACTTACCCCTACGCTAGAGGGGTACCATACTTCGGAGGTAACCCCGGGCACCCAGAACACGGGAACCCAGGGACGCACCGTCCGGATACCTGTCCACACCCCCAACCTTAACGGAGAGCACACCAAGAGAGGCATAGGACAAACTCACAGACAAACCCACCAAGCACCCGCTACCCCTTACCCACACCTTTCCACTACCCACCACCCCCCGCCATATGGCAGCCGCCCCGGGTCGGCAGGCCCCGGGACGGGCCCACCACGTCAGACAGGACCTGAGCGTTGTTACGTATAACGTTCATGGACTCAACATCCGTGAAAAGCGTACCAAGCTTCTCAGGGACTTGAAACGGTACGGAGCGTCGGTAGCATACATCCAGGAGACCCACTTTCAAAGCCTCCGAGCACCATCACTCCAGGACCGCAACTTCCCAGTGGGATACTTCAGCAATAATCCACAGCGCCGCACGCTGGGAGTGGGCATCCTATTCTCCAGATGGACCCCATACATTGAACAAGACACGCTCCGATGCACATCCGGGAGGTACATCTTCACAAAAGGCACCAACCATGACCAGAAATACACCTTCGCGAACATATATTCCCCAAACACGAAACAATACCACTTTCTCCGCAGGGTCATGATAGCTCTGATGAGGTTCGCCGAGGGCACGCTGATTATAGGAGGAGACCTTAACCTCCCCCTACACGATCGAGACACCTCAGCGACACACGCATTGACACCACCCGGCAGGCACGCAAGAACGCTCCAACTACTCCAACACCATCAACTTACAGACTGCTGGAGGGCGCTGAATCCTGAACTACGAGACTACACATTCTATTCCACGACGCATGACACATACTCGAGACTGGACTACTTCCTCCTACCCTACCACAGCCTACCCCTCCTGGTAAAGGCAGAAATTCTACCGATGACCTGGTCGGACCATAACCCAGTCCGCATACGGCTCACGTCCCCACTATTCAGACCTCGTCAAGTTTCCTGGAGACTCAATGAGTCCATCTTAACGGACCCCACCCTGGTGACGAGGACCACGCAGGTCCTCCAGGACTACTTCAACACCAACGAAACCGAGGACACAACACCCCTAACATGCTGGGAGGCACACAAGGCGGTCATACGAGGTCACTTTATGGCACACTGCTCGGCACGGAAGAAGGCACACGCGAAAACAGTAACGGACCTCAGCACGGACATAGCCCTTCTGGAGAACCAACACAAACGGACATTGGATGCCACAACCTATAGGGATCTTCTCCATAAACGCTCCCAGCTAGCTGAGCATATGAACCGCACCATCCAACGGTCCTTTCAGCACTTCCGACATCTAGTACACGAACACGGGAATAAATGCAGCAGACTACTCGCAAATCTATTGAAGCGCCGTAGGACGCATCTCTACATTAGCAAAATTAAAGACTCGTCCCAGCGGATGCATCACCTCCCAGACCAGATCTCCACCACGTTCCTTAACTACTACCGAGACCTATACAACATACAGAAAGAGGCACGAGACGCCGCAGAAACCCGCGGCCTCAATACCATTCACACATACCTGGCATCAGCAGGACTACGCCAACTAACGGACCCTGACCGCGAACTATTGGACGCACCCATTGCCATCAATCTCGATTGCCATCAAAAAAGCGCAGACGGGCAAGTCGCCAGGACCAGACGGTCTGCCGTTACAATATTATAAGACCTTTCAGTCCGAACTCCTCCCGAAACTGCATAAGGCCCTGAACTCAATCCGCGACGGGGCGACGCCCTCGGCCCATTTCGCGGCAGCAAACATCACGCTCCTCCCAAAAGACGGCAAAGACCCAACTTCCTGCCAGAGCTATCGTCCGATCTCTGTCCTCGATGTCGATATCAAGCTACTCGCCAGCGTGCTGGCCAACCGCCTGGCACCTCTCCTACCAGACCTGATACATCCTGATCAGACGGGTTTCATCCCAGGCAGAGAGGTCAGGGACAGCACCATACGGGCGCTGAACCTGATCTCCGTAGCATCACAATCCGCACGGCCATCCCTACTCCTGTCGACAGATGCCGAAAAGGCCTTTGATCGGGTGGACTGGAACTTTATGTTCGAGACCCTCCGGACCATAGGCATTGGACCAGGATACATTCAATGGGTGGAAGCGCTATATACCACCCCGACGGCGCGGCTCAGAATCAACGGAGCACTCACAGACCCGTTCCAAATTGGGAACGGGATGCGCCAGGGCTGCCCCATGTCACCCATACTATTTGCACTCACCCTAGAACCCTTCCTCAACAAAATCCGCAGCAACGAGGAGATCCACGGATTGCAAATAGGCCAAACGCACCACAAAGTGTTGGCCTATGCGGACGATCTTCTTTTCCTAGTCCAAGAACCCACCAGATCACTACAGGAAATCAAACAGGAATTTGAGACCTATGGCAGGATATCCAACATGCGCATCAACAACACCAAATCGGAAATTCTAGGCCTAACAATCCGATACCCGCAACAACTCGAACTTCGGCAACGCTTTCCATACCGATGGTGCACGACCAAGATGAGATACCTGGGGATATGGCTCACGCAAGACACAACGGACCTCTACTCTCACAATTACCTACCGCTTCTGCGAACAGCACAGGCCGAACTCCAAGCATGGAGTACAACATACATCTCTTGGCTGGGACGTATAAACGCGGTAAAAATGACCCTGCTACCCAGGTTCCTATTTATCTTCCAAACGGTACCCATAGAGGCGCCAAAGTCATTCTTCACCACCGCCCAAGCCATAATCCGTAATTTCATTTGGAAAGGGAAGCCCCCCCGAATCGCCCACACTCAGCTAACCCTCCCCAAACTCAAAGGGGGCCTGGCTCTCCCAGACCTGCGGAAATACCACCTAGCGACACACCTCACTCGAATAATCAACTGGTCAGTAAAGACCAGGGACAAACCCTGGGTACACCTGGAGGCAGATGCCACCAAATGCGACCTCACGACCCTCCCATGGATCATGAAAGAAGCCACCAAACAACTACCGCACGCCAACCCATTCGTGAAAGCCACCCTACGCATCTGGCACCAGACTGGCCCCAAACACTATCTTACGACCAACCCCGGCCCGCTACTTCCCTTAAAAGGCAACCCGGACTTCCCGGCGGGCGGCATGGGCCCAAATGCGCGCCCAGTAACCGGCAACACGACTCTCCGAATGGTGGATATCATTTCACCCCCATTCACAATCAGGCCGCTAGAGGCCATCTTCCCGGACCAGAGACACACATTCGCTCACAAGCTGGCGAGGGAACAAATGTCCCACTATGCACACTCCATCCCCCAGCGCCCATACTTGACAAGAGATTGCACAGAGTTTGAGACCCTGTGCAGACAGGACAAAGCCCCACCGAGAGCAATCTCCCTGATATACAAATTCCTAGTAACGAACAGATATCTCTTGGCCCCCCCATGCATCAGACGATGGGAAGAGGATCTAGAAGAAGAACTCAACGACGCGGACTGGGACAAAATCATCTGGCACGTTCAAAAGACCCCGAGCTCAGCTAGACATCAGGAAAACTCATACAAAATCCTCACCAGGTGGTATATCACCCCCACCACTCTCCATGCACGCCACAACTCAATACCGGCCACGTGCTGGCGATGCGGAGAGGAGGACGGAACATTCCTCCACATCTGGTGGGGCTGCACCCTCATCCAGCCGTTCTGGGAAGCGATACGACAAGTCATCCACACAGTGACGGATGACATCCCACCCATGTCACCAGCCTTCTTCCTACTACACCACACGACAATGCCCACTCCGACGTATAAAAAATCAGTGGTGCCACGCCTGCTCAATGCGGCGAAAACGACTATCCCCATATACTGGAAACAATCACGTGCCCCCCCACTCAGACACTGGGTGGAGGAGGTGGAAGACATAAGAAAATTCGAGGACCTGAAAGCTACCACGGCAGCGGCGAAAGAAAAACAAATGACTAGATGGCTCCACTGGATAAGACACATTGCCACAGATGAATTCCTACAATACCTGAACCCACCTTGAAACCTGGGATACGCAACCACGAGGCATCCGGGGGCCTGCACCTGGGGCGACATAAAGGCGGGTCACCCTCAACCACACCCCTCCCACCCCCCCCTAGCGGGTTCCGACCTCGCACCACTTACCCACTGACAGGAGGCAACTAGAACCATACTGCGGACTGGACACCGCAGGGCCACAGCCCCCAGGGCAACAGGCAGTTACCCACGGACCTGCCTCATCCGAGACTCAGACCCACCCCCCACCACCGCATGAAGACATGACTCCACGACCACACACTACCACAGAGGAGGGGGCACCACTGCACCCTACGACCAGCCCACACGAGCCATATACCTCCACAGGCAACCCAAACGCAAATGCAGGCGACAATAAGCACCAGAAGGCAGCGATCCGAGACACAGCCCACAAGGAGCATAATCACACGTACACATACATACACGGGTTTCGCAGCCATCAGAGACATAGGTTAGACAACAACTGCCTCCCTAAACCACCAACACAAAACACAAACAACGCAGCCACAAAGGGCCTCGGGCACCATAACGACCACCCGGACAACCTAAAACAATGACGACAATCACCACCTAGGCGCACGGTTCACGCCCCATGCACAGAGACAAAACACAAACAACGCACCATCTACAGACACACAAGCTGAATTCCCACCAAAGCCCCCAAGGGAAATGGGAAATCACGCCCCAAGACTAGCCTTAGACCTTCACACCATCACCACCATACCTCTCTGGTAACGACTCCGTTTACCTGTCTACCCTTAGCAACACACAGCTAGATGACAAACAACAAGACAAATGTAAAAATAATCTAAGCCCACAACCTGAACGAAGTCATGTGGATTCCTAGAGCTAGTATCTGTTGCAAACCCTAGTTCCTAATGTACCTGCATGTTTTATCTGTAACGCCTCTGCGCAGGCAACCATGAGCTTCCCATGAAACATGAATGACTACCTGCTTGTATCTGCAATGCCAATTACAAAAGAAGCATTTAAAACAAACCCGCTTTGCGCAGGCAACCGAAGGAATACTGTGTTATATTAATGTTGCAGCCCCTGCGTGGGCAATCAATTGCCTTGTTATAAATCAGTTTGATGCCTAAATTCCTAATATGCTTAAAAATAAAAATATTCAAAACAAATTTATATCATTGCACTATGTATCCATTTGGAGAATGTTATTTTCAAATATGAAGCATATATATGCCTTTGTAAATATTTCAACTATTGTGTATAGGACTTGTATAAGTTTATGAAACTGCAAATTTAACTTTTAGGGTATTCATTTTAGTTGTTATTGTGATTTAAACCTTTATTCCTATTATAATCTGGATATAAGCTACATATATATGATGAGACTGCTAAATGTCAATAAAGTTTTTAAGATGACTGAAAAAGCCGATTGTTAACGTCATACCCGGAAGTGAATGATGGAAAACGTTGGAACGCATGTTGCGTTCCACTAGGCGCAACCCGAAAATGGAATTCACCTGAACATTAACTGACAAGTGGGCTATTTAAAACAAGGAACATTGAACGGACTACACGACAGCTAACAGAGGAAGCCTATTTTAGAAGGCGAAACGCGTTTTGGACACTTATTAACTACATAGCTTATCCAGATATTTATCTGATATTATTATTTTTATAGTTGATATTTTATTCGGATCAATAAAGCGCCTTTTTCCTAAAGAAACCACTCTCATCTGGCATTTGTATACTGTGAAGCTGGCCAAGAGGGGAAAAAGGCAAGCACATACCACATTGGAAAAGGACTTGGACATCCTATAATAGTCCAAAGGCGCATACCATTTGAGTCATATGAGGGTATGACTCTAGGCTTGTGAGTGATCTTGCTCTTTTATTTTACTTTTCAAGCTTTTAAATACTGTATTGCACTATTTGCATATTTTATTTTCCAGAATATCTGTTGAAATATTGCTCGGAAACTCCACCTTTTATATGTATGTATATTATCTGTTTTTAAGTGGTGTAGGGGATACCACTTTTAGGTGTTAAAGCTTTTTATTCATTCACCTCCTCTTTTGTGTACTTATTTTGTTATAACATCTGGATAAATGTGGCGTGCTAACCTATGGCAAATATTACTTTTAATATATTATCTTTATTCCACCTGCAGGAATGGAATTTTTATAACCATATATTCCTTAGCTAAGATTTCTAATGTTTGAAATCTAACCAAGATTTATCCAGACATATATTCCTGCTATTAGTAAAATGTCAATTAATTTAATTAAATAAAACCAGGATAATTACCAGTTTTGTTGTAGATTTTCTTATCAGATTTGTAGATAGGTCCCAGGAATTGAATGCAAGTATGATTGATGTATAGAGTATTGTATGTAATAGAAAAAGTATTAAGTATTAGGTGTGTTAAGAGAGTGAATAGTTTCTTGCGTACAGTCCAAATGTTTCAAAGCGAGTAATGTGGTCAGAGAGCTGAGCGTTTGAATCTCTGAGTCTTTGAATGTTGAATCTCCCTCTCTTTCCTTTGTCCTTACTTTTTAAAGGGCCAAACTCTCTGCATGTCACTAATTGATAGGACCAATAGGGAACTGTAGGTGTGTGTTCCCTACAGACTATCATCTATTCTTTTAGTCAGTAGATGTCGCAATTACATCACCAAAATTTCTTGTCATGGGGTCCATTTGCCTTTATACATAATGGGTTAACTGAAATTGATGATGCGTTTGACGTCATCTTCAGCTATCTTTATGGTTACTATAAATCTAAATTCCTGCCAATTTCAAAGGCTTTGTTTCTCTCTTACCCAGACTTGGTGGCGGCAACTTC